ACTCCACCTCCGCCCACCTGCTTAATACACATTCTCACCACCCCCACCCCTCCACACACACACACTCCTTAATACATACTCTCACACCCACAAGCCTGCCTTCTCGGAGAAGCGAGCCGAGCCGAGCAGCGCGGCCAACGGGTAAGTTGCAAGCGCCGGGGGCAGCCTGTTCTGGGAGGTGAGAAGGAGGGCGGCACGGCGCACTCACTCGCTAGGCGGTGGCGTTAGAGCTCCCGGGGCTCCAGCGGACCGATTTAGCTCGGCTGGCGAGGAAGGTGGAGATGGGACGCACCGAGTGGGGGTGGGGGGCGCTGGAGAGGGTAGAATCCAGCCCCCCAAGCGGCGGAAATGCTAATCAGGACGCTTAGTTGGAAAGGGTAAATTCGGGCGCTCCCAGCAGCCCAGAGCTTTAGGAGAGAAGGAAGAGGAGACAAAAGGGGTGGGGGTGGGGGTGGGGGAGCGGGGAGGATGCTGATTTATGCCTGCACTTCAGCAAATATTTTCGCTGCCATTAGCGTCGCCGAAGGGGACGCCGCGGGGACCTGTGGCTCAGCGCGCTCCGCCCGGGCTTGTCTGCTCACCGGGACCCAGCGGCCGCGGCGGCTCCAGGCCGGAGCTCCAATCCAGCGCCACCCAACCCCCAGTAGGGGGACGAGGCCAGCGCCAGGATGCCAGCTTCTCCCAAAAAACTTCAGGGAGGGCTCACCTGACCCAGGCTCAGGGAAATGCTCGGAGCCGGAGGAAGTGCTCACAGCGCCCCGGCAGATCGCAGACCCTAAGGGGGCAGGAGGTGGCGCCCCAGCCCCCATCCTCTGGAGCCAACCCAGTGGCTGGGAAGTGCCCATACCCTAGGCCTTCCGGAAAATGCTCTCTCCTTGTATTATTCTAATTACGGTATTTTTAATTTCCTTTGAAAAAATAAGAAACATAAAAGCACAGAACGCAGTTGTTTGGTTTCATTTTGCCTTCACAGCTTTAATGACTCTATTTGTGGAAGCTGTTTAGGAAACTGGTGAGGAGGAGGAGGAGGAGGAGGATGCCAAGAGAAGCACCAGCTCTGGCCTGAGCGCCGCGTTCTCCTCCCTACCCTCTGGGGGCCATCTGCCCAGGCAGCAGTTTCCCTGGGCCCAGGCTCCCACCCCCCAAATCCTAGCCTAAGACCCATCCCCCTCTACCCTTTCCTGAATGCTGCAGTGGCCTCCAAGCTGTCTCCTTTCCATGCAACCCCAACTCTGAGGGTCAAAAGACCTGCTGCTTGCAGGCCCTGGGGAGGGAGGTTCCCAGCACTGTCCATTCAGAATCACTAACCTTGTTGGAGAGCACTTGGAATGAAAAGGATCCATCTCCCCCCAGCCCATCCCCAAAGTCTTAGGCAGCCCATGACCCTCCTTAGAAAACCTCCGTGGCTCAGGGAATTCGGGGTAGGAGGCAGACCTCATCTTTAGCCTGACACTCAGGAAAAGAATCATAAGACCTCTGGTCCACAAGAAACTCACCAAAAAAGAGGTGGAGAGGACACTGGCTCCTAATGCTTTGAAATAAAAAGTAGAAACATATTCTGTTCCCAGACTCTACAAATGAGTGCAGAGCTCTAAAATGCTAATGTTTATTTGGCCCTGCAGCCCAAGGGAGCTTGGTTTGTGACCCTCCCTTCCCCAGGTCAGGGCAGTTGCTCAGGCCAATGATGGTCAGGGGAGCCACCTTTGGGCACTTGCCTGGTCTCAGAGCTTCGCTCCTGACCTTTGGCTCTGCCTTGGTTCCCCTCTCCTGGAACACCTCTTCACCCTCCCAACTCTCAACCTCTTTCCTCTATCCTGCCATGAGTTCCAGTCTAAAGCAGCCATCAAAGCGATTTTCTCTTTAGCTGCCTGCCTTAAGTGATGCCTCAATTTCAGAGTTTCAAGCCCAGACCCATGACGGTGGGTCTCCAGCTCAGGTGGAACAATGGAGCCAGCACTAGACTGAGGTCGTGGGGCCTCAGTTCATGCTACCCCTGAGTCCCAATGTGACCTTGGGCAAGCTGGCCTGTCCCAAAGTGTCAACAGTTCAATAAGTGGATTGGAAAAGAGGAGAATCATTTTTATCCTACAGAATTCCCTGTTTGTGGGGGAGGGGAGAGAGGTGGCAGAGAGAGATTACAGGAGAAATTCCTTCCCTGCAGTGGTGCTTTCACTTTAATGAGAAAATCCATTAAGACACTTGATTTTCCATTTGTTTAAGTGAGATGGCTGTTTGCTACAGTGAGTGCAGAGGGAGACGAGGACAGGCCTACACACACACACACACACACACACACACACACACACACCCCAAGCAGAGACACTAGAAAACTCTGATTTTAATTGTATCTTAAAAAGAAGTATTATCTTGACACCTCGGCTCCTTCTCGACCATCCCAGCCAGAGGCCATGGAAAGGCTCATTAAAAGCTCCAGGAAGGGCTGAAAGGTGGGCTGGAAGGCGAGTTCCAGGACCAACCAGGGCTTCTGAAGTGGCCTTTTCTGGCTAGTCACTTGCTGACATCACCTTCTAAGGGTCTGGGGTTTTATGGTTCTAGTTTTGATTTCTCCACCATCAGACTTTACAGCTTAAAAAAAATTCTCAGTGCTGTAAAGGGAGCTCATTCCCATATTCACTAGGGATGGTGGGGGTGGGGAAAATGAGAGAGAGGTGCCTGCCACTTGAGGGGAGCTTGGACACACCCAGGAAAGATCCTTCTCTGCAGGGACAGCCTGGCCTGCCACGGTCTGTTACGGGGCTCATGGCAGAGGGGTGGGTGGATGAGAATGGGAGGGAGGGTCTGCTGGGCTTGAATCAGCCTGGCTATTGGACAGGAGCCCTTCACACAAGTCTTCGATTTGTGGTCAAGTGAAGGCAAGATTTGGAGAAAGCCAACACTCTGGCCTTGGTTTTCCCCATTGGTGAAATGGGGCTTATGAAAGATCCACTGGAAAAACCCAAAGAGCATTCTGAAAGAATAATGCTCTGTGCCTGTGGCATTAGAGAAAAAAGATTGTGTGGGAGGCAGGGCCATGTTCTCCCTCCTGAAGGCAGGTTTCTAAGGGCCACACATTCTGGGCAATGAGAAGGCTGCAGGCTGACCCCACCAGCTGGCCCATCTCCAGGCTGGTGGGCAGGCAGCTCCTGCCGTGCTAAGTAATGAGCACAATTCCAACACGGCTTCTGCTCGCTGGTGAGAAATCAAAGCCCGGTATTAGAGGCCATTTCTGGCTGAGTACCATTCGTGCCCAAATCCATCAAAGCCTTGGGCCTGGGGTTTCTTCTGGGGAAGGTGGGGGCTGGATGCTTTGTTAAGCAGAAAATGCAGGCCACCCCCAGCCTTCCTGGCCAAGCCCACCCACCCAGAGAACTACAGGCCAACCAGCCTTGTCTTTCTCCTACCACAGCCCCGAATTCCCAGAACCTGAGTACTTATTCCTGATTCCACTGTCCTGCTGGTACAAAAGCAGCTTCCCAAGACACAATCCTGCCCATGTGCCATTAACAGAGACTTCACCCTACTCTCCAACCAGAAACCAACACCCCAATCCAGCACCTCCCACGACTAACTGCACCCTTTAAAACAAGGTTGGACATTCAGCAGCCTGCCTTCCCCCGTCCCCATCATTACCTTCCAACTTCAAAACACTGCTTTAAATACCAGAGTCTGCCCAAATCATAATTAACTTGGATCAAATGATTGAGTGTTGTAACTCAGGACTTGCACAGGACTTGCATCCCCCTGCCCCCCCAAAAAAGTGGGGAATGTGCTAAAGCCAAGCCTTCACTCCTGGCCGTGGGAATAGTTAATTCCAGGGTGAGGAATCTTTGGCTATGGGGGGGGGGGCGGGGAGGGCGGATAGCAACTTCGAAGCAGGAGGTAGGATGGCTGAGGGCTACGTCAACTCGTCCACTTTCTGCTCCAGTTCTCCTGCTCCATTCTCAGCCTCAACTCAGAGAGGACTCCGCGCAGGAGGCCCCTTTCCCACCTGGCTCCGGAGCCAAGGTGCCCAGTGGCCGTGGCCAGCCCACCTGCTGGGGTTCGGGTACCAGAGGCTGGCTCCAGTCAGTCCACAGGCTCTGGAGGGAGATGCAGCCTGGCCAGCGACGCCCGCCCGGTCCAGCTACAGGACGAGCGAGAAACGTATCAATCCACAGCGAGAGAGGCGGGTCAGGGACTTTATATCAGGAGCCCACCAGTCCGCAGAAGTCATCTTGGTGGGTCCGGAGCGGTCGCTGTACCGAGGAAAGCGCACCTAGTCTGTTCCCCGGACAGCAAGAATGTCAGTGACCCATTTAAAAGGAAACTCGGCAGGATCGCTAAGAACTCCCGCCCGCATCCAACACACACACACACACACACACGCCCCGACACTCAGGGAAAAAAAACAATCCTTCCAGACCTGCGGGCCCCGCGATCTCGTGCAAGCTGTGTGTGCAGGACTTAGCCCTCTCCGCTTCAGGAGCCCTGGAAGCCGGTCTCCCCCGGCTGCCGAAGCGCTTCCTGTGCTCCGCAGGTCTTTCGCTCTCTCCCTCTGGTCTGCAGATTCCTGTCCCTGTAGCGTTAAGAGCCTAGGCGAGCCGGGACCAGACTAGGAAGTTACCGGCGTACGGCAGCGAGCGCACACCTTGCTTATGAAGCCACAGTTCTTTTTCCGGGCAGACGCCAGGCGCGCAGGGAGCCGGGGGGTCCCCAAGAGGCGGATCCTCCCGGATACTCAGACCCTGACTCCGACACCCCTTCCAAGGAGAAGAAGGGATCCCTTTCAGGAGCAAGCAGAGAGAGTTCAGCTTCCTGTGAACCCCTTTCCTGCGCCCTCCTACTGCGATGTGGATGCGCCATCGCCCACTTTGGGAGGCAGTAAAATCTACATTCTAACTTGGGCTCCCTTGCCGCTTTCCCTGCGCGCATCCGTGCGACGAAAGACCACCTCAACTTCAGGGCAGAGTAAGGCGCAAAGGTCCCCTAGCCCCGCGCCCCCAGGCCTGATCACTTCTTACCTGCTTGACTCAGCCTCGGGTCCCAGCAGAGCAGCAGTGCCAGCAGCAGCGCGCCCCGAGCTCCGCTCCGGGCCCACATGCTCCCGCGGCCCGGTTCGGGCGCCTCTCCCCAAGGGCTGTCTCCCTGGCCCCAGCCTCGCCGCCGCCGCCTCCGCCGCCGCCGCCTCCTCCTCGCCGTCCTCCCCGGCGCCCGGCCGCGCCAGCCCGTGCCTTCCGTGGGGGCAGCGGCAGCCACGCTGCGCGGAGGGCCGCCTGGCACTCGGAGCGCGATGGGTGCCTGGCGCCGGCTCTCGAGCCACGCTCCGGCGCGCCCCTCCGGCTCCGGGTCTCCGAGCGCTCGCCTGGCTCCGGCGCTCAGGCTCCGAAGTTGCGCGACCGCTCAGTGGCGCTCGCAGCGGCTGCGCCGCGCCGTCCCAGCCCCTGTGCTCGCCTCTCCGAGCCCCGCCGCCGCCCGCGGCTCCGGCGCCCTCGCCGGCCCCAGCCGCCTGCCACAGGGCTGAGCGCCTCCGCTCGCTCGCCGGAGTGAGTTCGCCAGCCGAGGGGCACCGCGCGGCCGGGGCGGGGCCTGGGCAGCAGAGGGCGGAGCCAGTAGGGAGACCTTGAGGGGGGACGCGACGGCCATCTGGGCGGGGCGGAGTTGGGGGACTCCTGGGGAGGGTCCTCGCGAGACGCTGGGCCCAGCGCTTTGAAAAACCCGGCCGCTGGAGAACGACTGGACGTGGAGTCGGCCCAATTTTCGCTCTCCCAAATGAAGGAAATGTGCCTCTGCTCCTTCGTTTGGCTTGGCCAAGTCAGCTTTCTCGTCTGATTGAACGTAGGACTCTCACTTTTGGCTTCCCTGTCTGTAGTATGCGCTCTGTCTTCCACAAGTGGGGGTCTTTCCAAAAAAGGCTCCCCAAATGAGAACACTCAAGTCATGGTTACGCGGGGGCTTACAGCGATATGAAGCTGGGCATAGGTTAGGATCATCCTGGCTGACTCTACTTGTCTGTATGATCTCCGGCAAGACTGTTAACCACACCCCTGGAAACCCCTCCAGCACTCTGATCCTGGGTTGTTGTAAGGCAGCCTCCTACGTGACTGTGGGACAGACATTTTTGGCTCAGTGTAAACCTGGGACTCTGACCCTTAATTACGGTGTGACCTTGAACAAGTTACTTAACCATTCTGATGCTCCCTTCACCATCATCTGTAAAATGGAGGGAAAGAATAACTATTTCATAAGGGGGCATATAATTAAATTTTAAAAATCATGTGAAAACTGCAGCGCAAGTGTCAATAATCTCTCTTTCGAAGATTCTCCCCTCCCAGCCAGTCTGATTCGGGGGTGGCCCACCACCCAAGGGTGGGCCAAGGAATACGTGGGGACGGGTGAGGTTTGAAGGATGGGCAGTTCTTGGGATTGAAACCCAGAGAGGTCAGAATGAGCGGATCTCAATTAATTCTCGCAACCCTCTGAAGTAAGCACCATTTACATCCCGTTTTACAGATGAAGGACCTGAGGCACAGTTGTAAAGCCACCTGCCCAAGATCACAGTGCTTTGAGTGAATGAGTGACTGAGCAAAGGGGACAGGGAGATGAGACTGGAAGGAAACCCTCTGAATGGGATAGCCTCGCTGGAACACCTTCCCTGGGTCTGGATTGGGCTGTGTGAAGGGGCCTATCCCCGTTATTTCCCCAGAGGTGAGGTAAAGGCAGGACTACCCAGCACCTTCTCCACACACACTCCTCTCACAAGCCGGGGTCTGGAGCATCTGGGGGAGGTAGTGCATGCAGTCAGTCCATCTCCCCAACGCTCTCTCACTAGGCACCCAGCATCAGGAGGATGGCAATGGGTGGGGACTGGGACTCCCTGGAGAAGGACTTCAGTCCATTGAGAAAGGCTGCTTCGGGCAAAGGTAGGTTGTTTAGCTTGGCCTCCGACAGCCCAGGCAAGGGCAATGGATGAGAGAGTCAACAGCTCAGCACACCCAAACAGCTCCACCCTTACAGACTGCAAACACACACACACACACACACACACATACGCACACACACACACACCCATACACACCTGCAAAGGTACACACACACAAACATACAACAAAGACACACAGGTGCAAAAGGACTCTCCCAGAAACATCACACCTACAAATAGGCACCCCACTCCAGAGACACCCACATACCAAAGATGTATGCCTAAAAAAAGCAAACACAGAGACAAACACAACTGAAAACACGAATAGGCAGATGACTCCCAAGACAAATAGATATCTGGATCCTTAACTACCGCCAGGAAACACATACAGGCACGCCTGTACCAAGACCCACACCTGACTGTCATCCCCTGGATGCAGTCACAAGGTCAAGGTTTTGCTCATGCTGGAGAGCCCAGCAGGACCTCTGCAGAGGTGGGCAGCAGGCAGAGACCGAAGCATGTTCTCTCTCCCCCGGACCTTCCTTGTCTCTCTCCTTCAGGCCAGTGGGGTATCGGAGATTTTTCTAAAAAGTTCCAGTCCTTGGAACTTTGCTGTTTAGGTGGTAAAGTGTACCCAGCAGGCCTTTCTAGTCCAGTTTTCTTGGTATCAGGTTTCTTGGCTTTGTGTAATTCCTGGCTGGAAAGAAGGGGGACTAGGAATGGGGGACAACCAAAAGGAGGGCATTGACCCTCTCCTGCCAGTCCCTGCCCCACATCCCTGCTCAGCCTAATCATTCTCTCAATTCTTGAAAGATGCTTATGGGAGAGCCTGGGCCCTGCTCTCCCTCCAGGACTCCAGCATCAGGGTAGGGGACTTTGCAAGTTAGGAATCTCTTTCTAACTGCTCTGTGCCCCTACTCCTGTACCAATTCTCTGACCCTTTTCCAGCCACCTACAGCTGAGTGGTTGCAGATGTGGTTCCTCTCCAGCCCTGGCATCTCAAGAGTGCAGGCTCTCAGCTGAGGCCAGGGAAGGGGCTTCAGAGAGGGTCAGACTGTCCAGAGCCATGCCTTTCCCCAGGATGGGTGAAAAATGGGCAAGGTCCCCACCCCTGAGATGACACATTGGGGTGGCAGGATTAAGATTTGCCTGGGTGTTCCCAAACCCAGTGCCATGGGCCTCACAGCAAAGGCGTTCTGCTGCGAGTTAAGCACGAGGCCTAGGCAGTAAGCTGCTTAGAGTCAGGAGCCCTGTGTTCCCTTTCCCCACGGCTTATCTAGCACTTAAGACAGTTTCCTGCACAGCAAGGATGCGAGCAACCTTGGTTTGAGTGGGAACGTTAAGAAGGCTAAGGGAAAAGGGGTTGATGGTCAGAGGGCCTACAGACTTGCTGTGGGAGCTCCACTCTCCCCTCCCTTCCATTTCCTGGGGTCTGGGGGTTCTGAGGCTGGAAGTGGGGCAGGCTTTATGGCATAGATCTGCTTTGAAATCAGTCCCAGAGCCAGTTCTGATCCTTAGTAGGGATTGCAGATGCTTCCACCGTCTACCCTCCCTTCTCTCAAACCACAGGACAGTGTAGGAAAAGCAGCTCTGGATCCGGATGGATGCGGCCCTAGCCCTGGGGGCTGCTGCTACCTGCTGGGGGATCTTAGACCAGTCACTGAACCTTTCCAAGCGTTAGCTTCCTCGGTTGTAAAATGGGAATAATGACTACCTCACAGGATTAAAAATAATAAGACCAATAATCTGGCTGTATAAAAATTGCCTATTTGATAACAATTACTATTTAAAAGCAGCTGTAGAGGCTCCCTGCAGGAGTGGCTGGCGGCTTGGGGTTGACGCCTCCCGCTCCTCCGGGACCGTGTGCGCGAAGCTGCCACCAGGCGGCGCGCTGCCGCTTACGCCTCCCCGTGGCCGCTGCTCTCCCGCCTCAGACGCTGGAGAATTGTCCTGGTCCCACCCCGCCTGAGGCCGCCCCGAAAGGGTCCTTGCCCGGGGTTGTCAGGGGAGAGGGCTCTCAGACGACTCCGCTTGCAGGATCTTGAGTGGGAAGGCTTAGGAATGAGTTCACGATGCCTCCCCTGAGTCATTCGGTCCAGAAGCGACCCCCAAAACCTGGACCCTGGAGAAGACAAGCACCTAAGGCTGAAGTCCTTAACGCTTGCTTTACCATCTCTTTGTAATAAGCTATCAGAGCTGGCCGGGCGCGGTGGCTCACGCCTGTAATCCCAGCACTTTGGGAGGCTGAGGCGGGTGGATCACGAGGTCAAGAGATCGAGACCATCCTGGTCAACAAGGTGAAACCCCGTCTCTACTGAAAATACAAAAATTAGCTGGGCATGGTGGCGCACGCCTGTAATCCCAGCTACTCGGAGTCTGAAGCAGGAGAATTGCTTGAACCCAGGAGGCGGAGGTTGCGGTGAGCCAAGATCGCGCCATTGCACTCCAGCCTGGGTAACAAGAGCGCAACTCCGTCTAAAAAAAAACCAAACAAACAAAAAAACTATAAGAGCTAAGGTTGAGTGCTTACTATGTAGCAGGTACTATCCTAAATCTCTTCAGTCTGGCGCGTTGGCTCATGCCTGTAATCCCAGCATTTTGGGAGGTAGAGGCAGGTAGATCACTTGAGGTCAGCAGTTCAAGACCAGCCTGGTCAACATGGTGAAACACCATCTCTACTAGCAATACAAAAATTAGCCAGGCATGGTATTGCCCTCTGTAATCCCAGCTGCTTGGGAGGCTGAGGCATGAGAATCGCTTGAACCCAGAAGGCAGAGGTTGCAGTGAGCCGAGATTGTGCCATTCCACTCCAGCCTGGGTAACGGAGCAATACTGTCTCAAAAAAAAAAAAAAAAAAGGTACGGTTTTAAACATTTTAAAGTGCACAATCCAGTGGTTTTTAGTATATTCCCAGTGTTGTGCAGCCATCACTGTTCTGGAAAGTCCTACCCGACAAGAAACCCAAGCGGCACTCAGGGCATCAGAGGAACACACTTTAATACGCTGGCAGCCCAGAAGGGTTTGCACCCAAAAGTCTGGATCTGGCTAAGAAAAGTGCACGGTTTTTATAGGTGAAGCGGCAGGGGAAGCAACTCAGGAGTTTATACAACGCAGTAGGTTTTAGGCAGCGAGGCAGTTTCTCTTAAGGTTTTCCAGTTAGTAAGCGGTAAGCTGTACAGAAGCAGAAAGAGGCAGTTACTAACAAAAATAGGGACAGTTTCAAAAATAGGGACGGTTGCTGACAACGTTGTGAGAGCCCCCGGCAAGCCTCTGGTGCAAGCCCCACAGTCCAAAGGCTGAAGAACTTGGAGTCTGATGTCCGAAGGCAGGAGGAGTGGAGGGAAGCATCCAGCGCAGGGGAAAAAGAAAAAAGCTGGAAGACTCAGCAAGCAAGGTTAACCCACCCTCTTCCTCCTGCTCCGTTTCGGCCGAAACGGCAGCTGATTGGACGGTGCTCACCCACATTGAGGGTGGGTCTTCCTCTCCCAGTCCACTGACTCAAATGTTAGTCTCCTCTGGCAACACCCTCACAGACACCCCCAGAAACAATCCTATACCCGTCATCTAGGCACCCTCAATCCAATCAAGCTGGTACCTAATATAACCATCACACCGGACGTCTATAGGAAGCC